TCAGTTTTTATAGTTTACAGGGACAAGGCAGTTTGAACTGCAGTTTGAACTGGTTTGGCTGTAGACCATTTCCTGGAGACCCTGAAGGTTTCCTGGATACCCTCAGGGTGGCTGTAGACCCTTTCCTGAATACCCTCAAGGTATCCTGCGTACGTGTCCGTCTCGCTTTGAGCTAATGGTGTTTTCCTAGCGTGGCTGCAAAGGCACCCCCCCCTCACTGTTTTTACCTAAACAGAAAATGCAACGGGCCATTCAAGTTTTGCTTCAAGGTTGTTTGCATTCAGCCCTCTCTGTCAGGGTATGAGGGCATGCACTGTTGTGCTTATGTTAATCTTTGATGATTTATTTTTACTGCAGAAGTATTCAGCTGACCTGCAAACACCGTTGCACACCTGAGGGTGGGCAGTTAGTCCTAATGAAACCCAAGGACCAGACACTGATGAAAAGCTTTTAGGAGTCCTATGGTCAGGAAGGACACAGGTTTTGCCTCATACCATGGTTGACAAGATGCAGCGTTTCCCCTTCCCTGGACGGTGAAGGAGTTGCAGCAATTTTGCGGAATGCCAGGGTCCTCCCACACTGGGCACAAACACTTCACCCCTTCTACAAGCTCATAAATAAAGGGGTGGCATGGGATTGGAAGGAAGGTGCTTTCAGTCCAGAGAAGCTTTGAGTTCCACAAGTGGGTTCTTTGAGTTCCAGATTGAGAGAATCCTTTGGAATTGGCAGGGGGAGTCACAGAGGACGGATGCACGTGTGGTCCGTGGCAAACTGACTGAAGCAGTTGCCAGCAGGTTGCTCCACAACACAACACATGGAGGGGATCAACCCAGTCACAGGTAAAACAGCCACCCAATAAAGGGGTGGATAAATAACTCCAAAGCAAAACGGAAAGTTTGTTTACAACAGAGAAGTGACCCAAATGTATTGCCATTAAGTACTGAACAAATGGTAATTTGGGGACTGGTCATGCTCCTGGAAGAAGTTAATAAGGAGCTCATTGTTCCAACAGCCCCTCTGGAAAACATGAACTGGTTGGGGGAGGCAGTTGGTAAACTAAGTCACCGCATTGGGGGATGTTTGCCCTCCTCTTTGCAAATGATTTAAATGTCCCCTGAAGCCCCCACTTTGGCCTTAATGTGCACTCAGTGTGCAAATTGGGGCACTCAAAAAGCAGCTGGATCAGATCTCTGTACTTGCAGATTTGTGGTCATAGCTGCACCAAATGTTGATGGCCGGATTGCCCCCAGGTCTCGTTTGGCTGGAAAGGGGATCC